GGGCTCAGGCAGGGCTGGGGGGGGCAGGGTGGCCCCTTCTCCTTTTCCTTCCTGATCCTGCTGGAAAATGGGAGAATGGAGAGAGAGCCCCGGGCTGGGACACCTGGGGGGGCTCACCTGGACAGGACTGGGGACAAGGATGGAGGGACAGGAACAGGGAATGGCCTCAAAGCAGGATTTGATGGGATTTTGGGAATTGGGAATTGTTCCCTGGGCTGGGATGGGATGGGAGGGAATTCCCAGAGCAGCCCCTGGAATTCTGGAATGTTCAGTTCCAGGTTGGACACTGGGACAAGGGGAGGGGTCCCTTGGGGTCCAGAAATTCAAATTGTGCCATTTTTATATTTCTATTTTTTAATTCCCTTTTTTTTTTTTTATTTTCCAGAGGCCACCAGGGCTGGGTACATCATTGCCCTGTTCCTCGTGGCATTTCTTGGTCTCAATCTGATGGTGGCTGCTCTGCTGTTTGTGTGGAAACATCACCAAAAAATCAAATTTTGGGCTCAGCCACCCCTGCAGATCCCTTCCCACTACGAGGAGGTACCTGGGGCTTTCTGGGGGGGGAAAACATCCCAAAAATCCAATTATTGCTCCATAGAAATGGAGATGAAAATCTCTGTAATTAGATTAAAATTGTAAAAAAAATCTTAGTACAGGTTATTAAAATAGTAAAAAAAAAAAATCCTTGTGAAAAGTATTAAAATAATGAAAAAAATTCTTGTACAATGATTAAAAAATAGTAAAAAAAATTCCCTGTAATGATATTAAAATAGTAAAATATCCTTGTACACGGTAATATTTTAATATTAAAATTTCAATATTAAAATATTAATATTAAAGAAATAGTAAAAATAAATAAAATATATAAATAGAAATATTAATATTAAAATATTAAACATTCTTGCAGAAGGTATTAAAGTAGTAAAAAAAAATATTGTGCTGGGTATTAAAATAATGAAAGAATCCTTGTACAATGATTAAAATAGTAAAAAAAAATTCCCTGTAATTATATTAAAATAGTAAAATATCCTTGTATTAAAATAATTTAAAAAAAAATCCTTGTCCAGGGTGTTAAAACAGTTAAAAAATGATGTAGGGTATTAAAATAATTAAAAACTCCTTGTAGAAGATATTAAAAGAATTCAATAAATAAATAATTGTGCAGGGTAATAAGAGAATGAAAAAAATCCTTGTGCCATGATTAAAATAGTAAAAAAAAAATCTCTGTAATTTTATTAAAATAGTAACAAAATTGTGTAGGGTATTAAAATAATTAAAAACTCCTTGTAAAGGATATAAAAAAAAAAATTTAAAAAATAAAACAATTAATAAACAATTGTGCAGGGTATTAAAAGAACTAAAAAAATCCCTGTACAGGGTATTAAAATAATAATAATTTAGAAATCCTTATACAGGTTATTAAAATAATTTTTAAAATCTCTGTACAGAGTATTAATATAATAAAAAATCCTCATACAGGGTATTAATAATAAAAAAATAATCTTTGTACAGAATATTAATAATAATAATAATAAAAGAATCCTTGTACAGAATATTAAAATAATAATAATAAAAAATCCTTGTAGAGGGTAATAAAAAGTCCTTTTATAGGGTATTAAAAATAGTTCCAAACTAATTGTTCCAAGCTTTAAAATAATTTTAAAAAATAACTGTACAGGGTCTTAATAATAAAAAAAAATGTGCTGGGTATTAAAATAGTAATAATAATAATAATAATAATAATAATAATAATAATAATAATAATAATAACTAATCACCTGTGACCTGCAATGTGGGTTTTTTTCTCTCCAATTACAAAAATTCACCCAAAGCCACCAAGAAAAAGGTGAAGAAAGACAAAACCTCCACCCTGAAATTTCCATTTTCTTGCTCTCTATTAATTGTTCTATCCCAAGACATTAAATTATCAATTTTCCACCATGTGACATCACACATTTCTATTCAGACTCACCCTCATGATCCCAGTTCTGGTTATTGGGTTAAAAATAAAAATAATTTCAGTGGAATTTCTTACTTACATTTCCATTTTTAGTTTGTTAGCTCCAAATGCTGTCAAACTCCCTTTAATATAAATAAAAATTCATCAACATCTCAGCCCAAACACAAAATATCATCTCTCAAGCTTTTAATCCCCAACTGTGGCAGAAGAGAAAAAAGAATAAAAAAAAGCAAGAAGGGATCTCCCAGCTGGGACATCAGGAATTTGTTCCTAACTCAAAGGAATTTGCTTGATGTGGAAAGATTGGCCAAAATTTATTAAAAAAAAAACCCCAAAACCAACCAAACACCCAGGGAGGAACTGCAGCTGCTTTGCCTCTCACTCCAAGGGAGGGATAATTTATTTCTTTTCCTCCACAGTGGAATATCCAGGGAGCAGCTCCTGCTGTGGATTCTGCTCTGGAATAACCTGTTGGCATTTTCTAACCTGGTGTTTTGTGATTTTTTTTTTTTTTTTTTTCTTTTCCCCCCAGTTCCTGAAGGATCCTGGTTTGGAGGAGCTGCCCAGCCCTGCTGAGGAGGAGCCCCTGGCTCTTGTGCTTGGGGAAGGAAACGTCCAGGAGGAGGAGGAGGAGGAGGAGGAGGGGGAGGAAGATCCAGCACCCAGCACCTCCAGGGACAGGGGAGCCCCTCAGGGGCCACCCCAGTGAGGCCAGAGGCTGCTGCCATGGGGGGCTGATGGCAGGAAAATCCTCAGCATGGAGCCTGGGGTCAGAGGAAAGAAAATCCTGAACAGAGACCCCTGGGAATCACAGGAAAATCCAGGACAGAGACCCCTGGGAATCACAGGAAAATCCAGGACATGGATCTTGGGATCAGAGGATAATCCTGAACACAGATCCCTGGGAATCACAGGAAAAAAAATCCTGAACCCTGAGATCACAGGAGAAAATCCTGGATGTGTCCCCTGGGATCACAGGAAAATCCTGGATAGAGACCCCTGGGATCACAGGAAAATCCAGGACACAGATCCCTGGGAATCACAGGATAATCCTGGATGTGGAGCCTGGAATCAGAGGAAAGAAAATCCTGGACACAGAGCTTGGGATCACAGGAAAATCCTGAACGTGTCCCCTGGGGTCACAGAACAAATCTGAATTTGTCCCCTGGCATCACAGGAAAGAAAATCGTGGACACAGAGCTTGGGATCACAGGAAAATCCTGATCCTGAACACAGACCCCTGGGGTCACAGGACAATCCTGAATTTGTCCCCTGGGATCTCAGGACAATCCTGAATTTGTCCCCTGGGATCTCAGGACAATCCTGAACCCCAGCCCTGAGCTCCAGGGACTCTGCCCAGCTCCCTTGGCTCCTCCCTCTGCCAAAAACACTGGGAGGAGGGGAGGAGAAGGGAGAGGAAAAGGAAAAGGAAAAGGAAAGGAAAAAGGAAAAGGAAAGGAAAAGGAAAAGGAAAGGAAAAGGAACACTAAATTGCCTGAAGACAGGTGCATACAAAGGGTAAATTCCCACCCCAGCTTGGAGCAATAACTGCACTTTATTGACGTGGGGGTAACCTGGGATGTTTTCAGAGAGTGAAGAGCTGCAATGTGGATTTTAATTCCATTTATACTGGTTTTGTTTCTGTTGGCAATAATACTCCCAATTACACCCACCCCAGCCTGCTTTCCTGAATCATTTTAAGTGCAGGACAAACTAAAAAAAATAAAAATAAAAATAAATAAATTGGTGAGGACTCTGTTTGGCATGAACCTGTGCCAAGAACCCCTCCCAGGGAGATCTGCTCTTCATGTGCTTCCTCCCTCGCAGCCTCGTGGAAGCATTAATCTCATTAATCTCATTAATCTCATTAATCTCATTAATCTGCTCCTGCAGCCAGCCCAGGGCCCTGCACACCACAAAGGACCTGAGAAGAATTTTGCTCTGAGTTTTTACAACGTGCATCACTCACTGGCAGACACTAAAACCTCTTGGTCCCCAGCAGCAGCAGAGAAGTTGACTGCTAGGTCTGGTTTTAGTGCCTTAAAGCACAAGAGCCCAAGTTAAACCCCACCTCACCCCCTGTGGGGTGTGCAGTGTCCAATAAAGCACAAAGAACGAGTGAACCTCTTCTGTTCTAAAAATATTGGGTTATTTGGGTTTTTTTTTTTTATCTCTGGGTTTGATACGAATTGGTTAAAAAAAACAGTAAGAAATGTGATTTTTTTGGTTTGTTTTTTTTTTTTTATTTGGAAGTGCCTGGCAGAGCTGAGGTGCCCCTGTCTCAGCCTTTGCAGGAACAGCCCAGGCCAGCAGCTGGAAAAGCTTCTGCAGATGTTTCCTGGCAGATCCCATCTCATCCCCTGGGATTGGCCAGGTGCTGGCAGGGATGTCTGAGTCCTGTGGGAATTGTCACCTCTGCTTCTCCCACCCACACTCTGAGCCTGGGAGCAAAGGGGGAACCACAGGGACACCCAAACTCAGCCAGAGCACAGAAATTAAGCTTAAAACCCTCTGGGAATATCTGTGTGGATTCCTGAACAAACCTGCACTGGGATTGTGTCAGGGGTTGTGGTGGAAAATATTTTTACACAACTAAAAAGCATTTCCAGGGAGTGACTCCAGGGTTGTCACTGAGCTCTGCCTGTGTCCTGTCCCTCCATCCTTGTCCCCAGTCCCTCTGAGCTCTCCCTGCAGCTTCTCCTGTCCAGGTGAGCACCCCCAGGTGTCCCAGCCTGGTTTGCACATTCAGGATCCAAGGGCAGGTACAAGATCCTGGCACTGGGAGTAGTTCCAGGGATCAGTTCCCAAATTTCTTAAGAAACCAAGAAACGTTCCCAAGCTCCTGGGCAAGAAACCTGGCAGCCACAGCCTGGTTTTGCTGTGCAGAGGTGAGTTCCTGTACAATTGCCCTGTGAATTCACTATTTGGAGCATTTTCATTGCATTTTCTGGAATTGCACGCAGGTGTCAGCCCTGCTCCTCGGGGTGGGGTCACTCCAGCCCCACACCTGGCCCCAGGTGACAAACAGCTCCCAGCCCCCAGCACAGCATTTGCACTGGGCTCCCTGAGCAGCAGCTCTGATTTGGGGAAGCCTCGGGAGAGGCAAATGCTGTAAAAACCACAGAGAACTCGTGAGCAGAACTCACCCCCAGCAAATGGAGCTGCAGGGACACTCCAGGGACATGAAACATCCTCAGCCTCACTTTCTGTTTCACTCCACTGAGATCATTGATTTCAATCATTCATTAATGGGAACAGCCATTAAATGTAAGGGATAAAACACATTTTAGCTGAGGCAATAGCAGCCCTAAAAATGGGTGTGAGTTACTCCTGGAATTTACTGGAACTTGAAATGATTACAAGGTTGGACTGTGAGCAATAAATCTTTTAACAGAGAGGGAACATGTCAGGAAAACTGAATTATCAGCACCCAGCTTCCCCTGGAGCCAGTGACACTTGCATGAGCAACAAGACATTGCTCTGACTCATTTATTCTCCATATCAAGTACAACTGGCATCAGCTTGTTGGAGTTTTTTTATTCTAGTATCAGGAAATACATTAAATACCAACTGGAATCTCTTACACTGAGCAGCATGAAATTAATCCCAAGGACTGTGGTGCCAGCAAATGTCCTTTGTGCCAGAGCCATCACAAGTCAGGAATATTTTGCTTTGCCATGCACAACCTGCTGAGTGTAGGGACTTGCTTAAAAACCCATAACCTTTTACCAGAAAAAAAAAAAAAAAAAAAAAAGCTACTTTATATTTACCTGAACAATAATATAAAATTCTTAAAATCAGCTCTTATCCCTGCTCCAGGGATGGGCTCTGTCCTGTTTGCTCACTAAGTGTGGAGGTTTGGAAGGTGAAACTTGGATGGAAAGGCATGAAGGAGAAAGCCTGGCAGCCTGCCATTCCCTTTGAAATGTCCTATGTACATATTCACAAGTGCAGCTTTGGACAGAGCCTGGAATTGTCTCAGTTCCACCAGTTTGGGAAGCAAACCAAGGACAAAGGACTGAATTTCTACAGACAAGAAGCACAGGGCAGCTGGGGGCCAGGCCAGCAGTGAGCTCAGCCCCACAACTCTTCTGTTCTCCCAAACTTGTAGATCAGAGTGCTGAGGGGCAAAAAAGAAAAGAAAGAAAAATCAGACCACACATCAGGTAATTTTAACAATACCCTTAAATCTTACCCTGTGCAAATGAACAGCCCAGCCCTGAACTTGTAGCCAGATCAGGATTTGGGTTTGGTGTTTATTATTTGGTTTCCTGTGCATGGCTGGAACTGTGGGAGCCAACTGAAGCTCAAACAAAAAATTCCCAATTTCACAGCCCTTGTGAGGGAAAAGCCTGGTATTTGTAACATTCAAAATGTCCAGAGCAGCAAATCTCACTCTGGCACCTGGGAATCAGCTCAACATAAAACCTGAACAATTCCATTTTAATGAACAAATCAGAATATGAAGCCTGTGGTAGACAATCAGATCCACATGACAATCTGATTTCCAAAATCCCACAGGTTGTGGCTGCCCCTGGATCCCTGGCAGTGTCCCAGGCCAGGCTGGGCAGGGTTTGGAGCCACCTGGGACATTGGGAGGTGTCCCAGCCCAGGTGAGACTGGATGGGATTTGGGGTCCCTTCCAATCCAAACCCTCTGGGATTCTAAATAAACCTAAAAAATTCAAAATCTGCCTTCAGCAGTTTCCCTTTCCAATCCCAGAAGGGATTTAGGAGCTGCAGTTCCTGCAGGAATATCCCTCATTTCCCAGAGCCCATGGATGCAGGACACTGCAGAGCACCTGGGGTGGGGCTGGAAGGAAAAGGATCAGCCAGGAACTGAAAGAGGAAAGGAAATGAGATGAAACTTTCAGTGCCTGATCTTGGACTGTTTAACACTTTCAGTGCCTTTTATTCATAAAATCCCTGGACTGCAAAATGCACTCCAGAGCTAAAAGGAGTTAGAGACTCCAAATCGATTTTCAACTGTTACATGATCGATTTAATAACATTATTTGAAATAAATGAGAGGAAATCCTGGGAATATCAAACAGCAGAGAATTGAGCCATTGGTGTGAAATAGTCTGGGAAAGGGGAATTGAATTCCCCAGCTGGGAGGGAAGCCAAGGGATTGCAGGACAGAGGTGAATAATTCCTATTTTCCAAAGATACTGGCAGCTCCTCATCCAGAAAATTCTGTGCATCCCTGGCCATGCACACTGCAGGGGTAAAAACAGAGCTGCTTTTCCAGGAGGGTCAGTGCAGGGAGGCAGGAAAGTCCCTTTGGAAGGAGGGGAATTTGCCCAGGTAACTTACCTGAAAAATATTAATGCATTCTGGAAAAACACTGCTAATCCAGGGTACACATTAGTGTCTGCAGAGGAGGGACAGAGGAAAACTCAGTTTAGTTCTGGCAGGGTTTAACAGGATATTCCAGGCACTGGGAGCTGGATTTAACATGAAATTCCAATTTCTGG